TATATTTTATTTATATTGTCTCTGTATTTATATATGTGTGTGTGTGTGTGTGTGTGTGTGTATATATAATATTCTGTAACTCTGTAACTTCTGTCGGTGCTGTGCTTTTTTGGAAATCGAATTTCCCAGAGGAACCCACCCGAGGGATTAATAAAGTTCTATCTAATCTAATCTAATCTATCCTTTGCTACTGCATTGGTCTACCCACTCTTGCTGTGGACGATACCACCTACAGCAGACATTGAACACCAGTCCTGGTGTGGATTCCTTTTACTCACATACAGAAGCAGAAAACACACAAAAACCAGCCAGGACACCCAAGCTGTCTAAAAATCTTCTACTTTATTCGATAAGATAAATGTTTTTGTAAAACATTCAATAAAAAAATGATCTACAATTTATTGCTCGTTGTCATCTTCACACTAGGAATTTTGATCTGATGCATAATATCTTTTTTCCAAACCACTCTCACGAGGAATATGTTGCTAGATATTTAGACAAGGTTTTATGTTGTCATTATAGTAGTTATAACATACATACATACCCACGTTCAGAGTATATTAAAAAAAACAAGTAAAGTTACAGTAGCTAGACAGAAAAAAACAGACGAGGGACAGGCAGACTCAGGAGTCCTCTCATGTACTTGTTACTTTAGCCTGCAGTGGCCAGCATTTGTTGCTTTCCCAGAGTGAGTGTTAAACCTTTAGAGCAATTTCAGGGGGATCAGTAGGTATTAGATTTAATATTAGACTCTTTTATGTGGACGATCGTGTGTAATAGCTCTTTATGGGTAACACATGTGTTCAAATGGAGTTTTTAATGTCCGAAAAATAAAATACTGCTCATCCATCCAATCACGGAGCAGCATTTGGGGGAAACACAAAAAGAAGAGATTCATGAGGATGACCTGAGGCTCCGCTGTCCCGAGTCCTTTAGAGAATCCCACATCCTTGCCGCGCCTCCCCTCATACACATTCTCACTAAGCAGTGTACGTGTGTATTTTGTTGATCTGCTCCTCCTCAGGCCTGCCTGCATGTGTGTGTCTGTGTGTGTCTGTGTGATGCAGCTGTGCGTGTGTGCTTTACAGTACACATGGGAGCCTAAAGTCCAAATTTCTTTTGTAAAACATGGACGCACAAACACACAGTTACAGTCGCATGCACGCGCAACCGCCGCCTGTTCTGCAGTCGGCGGCGATGTCTGGACATCATGCCAACATATTTACATTCTCGTTTTAAGGAAACTGTGTACAAGGCAGTAGTAGATGGTGATCCGGCAAGGTGAAGAAGTCGTTTTTGGTCGTTTTTGTGATATATTTTGTTTTAATCTTGGAGGGCGGGATTGAGGAAGAGGGAGCGGAGACGCAGGAAACAAGAAAAAAAAGAAACGTGAAGAAGAAGAAATCTTGTCAATAAATAAATAAATAAGTTAATAAGTTAAACTGGTCTGTCTGTACATGTGTCAAGAGAGACAATATGTGCATATATGTTTCTGTGTTGGTTGTCATGTCTGTATTTGTGTGTGCTTATATTGTGTAGCCTTTAGGGGCTGTAGCTACGGAGGAGAAGGAACTCAAACCCCTCCAGAGACCCAGAGTTCTGCTCTGACAGCACAAACAGAGCTGCTATGACACTCAACAACAACACTGTGTGCAGGACTAGATGGGATAACCATGCTTTATGAGCTATTTTAAAACTACATATGAAAACCTGCAGGAGTCACACTGAGCGGAGAGCTGTGAAAGCTTCTTGGGTCCATGCAAGTTGTTTATCGCACGTAAAGGCTGGAGTTTCAGTCACTGGCTGTAAATTTAGTCTGTGGGAGATATTTTGCGAACGTTTCATGTGTTATGTTACGTTATGCATTAAGGTGGTCCAGCAGAGTGCTGAGAAGGGAGCCCGTCCGCCGACTTTCGAAGCTCACAAGTACACCAGTTTCACACTTCTCCCTGATTTTTTCTTTCTTTCCATTCTTCTGTTACTTTTGTCACTTTTCTAGCATGAGAGCTTAACAAAGCTGAACACTGTGAGTGCCTTAGAGAAAAGACTGTCAGGAAGTGTGCACCATTATACAGATTTCACCCTGCATTCGAGTGTGGCAGTTCTGAACCTCTACAGACATTCTGCACAGAGTCACAGAGACCATGCAAAGGCTTGTTTCCACATTTAAATCATTTAAATGAGTCTGTTTTGTGTGTAAAAGTCTCATCTGTAACTGTTTGTTAATTACACTTGTAGATATAAAATTAGCTTTTTGATGACTTGTGTGTCCTGTGAGAACCTATAAAGACTTGCAGTTTATAGTAGGACAAGATATCGGTCATGGCCTGCTCCGCAATCGTGTAATGGACTACAACTGCCCCCAAGCTAAAGCTTTGAATATGGAGAAAAATACAAAGAAAGATACACTAAACCATACCAGCTGCCCACACAGGCAGCATAACAGAATGCTCTCTACCTGTGATATATACTTTGCAGCCCAAAGCACATTTTTACATCTTTTTTCCTGTTTTATTTAAACACGTAACTACTGTAAGCTCTGTAAGCTACACCAACCGTGCAGACGAATGCAAACGTGCTGCTGAAGCTACTCCTCCTATAGTCATTCATGCATCGTTGATGGATTGGATAGCTATTAGACACTGAAAAAGCTAAATGAACATGCACTTCAGATGAAATGAAATGTGTCTGTGCAGACTACTTTGGAAAGTAGTGCGTGGACATGTTTCATCTGTATCTTTGTGTTAGCACATTGATCAATTTGCTCTGCCATTTTCAGTTATCCGGTCTTTAAGTGATGAGGTGATGAATCCTGCCCAAACTACCCTGCGTTTAATAAGGCTTTTGTGTTTTTAACATGTTTCAATGCTTTGTGTCTTGTTGTTTTTAATCTCAAAAAGCTCCTACAAACAGGCAGTGATCACTGTCGGCCTCTGTCGGTTTTTATTACCGCTATTCACTTTAAAGCTCAGTTTTTAAAACCTTACGATGTAACTACAGCCCAGCCCGTGCAGCAGTAAATTAATGACTAACCTCGTGTTGTGGATGGATTATCTCAGTTGTTCTCCTGACTGAAGTTTGGTCCGTTTACAGCATCCTGCCATGCGATTGCATTTGTCCCTAACCATCGGGAATCTTCACGTTAACTTTTATCGAGTGAAAAAAGTTAGCGTTCATCCTCCAGCGTTACTGCTTATATTATGCTAACATAGCTGTGGGCTAGCTGGTATATCATTATATACCAGCTAGCCCAACTTCAGTAAACCCTACAAACGTCACTGCTGTTTGCTTTCCTGTCTTCATTTATGTCGGAAGTGACAGCAGAGCTGTACGTCTTAATTTGTTTAAGAAATCCCTCGCTCAGAACATGCTATATTATATTTAGATGGAAACTAGCGAGCTAACTCCCTGCTAACTTTTAAAGCCATTAAATTTCATGAATTCTATTTTCATGGATGCCTGGTTGTTAAACTTAATTGTTACACCTGGTAGAGCAGAACGCTGATCATTTTATTACAGATGAAAGAATTTATACAGTTTTTAACTCTCAGTGATCGTTTGACCTGCAGCGGAGTTTGGGCCCAGACACAGCTAATGACGTCATACTTAAAGACGGGATAAACAGGTACAGGGTCGTCACTGTCACCCTGCACTGCACTGGAGCAGAGCTGGAAGCGATTTACATGTAGCTTAGGTAAAGGAAGCCGCGCAACTATTGCTAATGGCGATGCTAATGGTCATGCTAATGGTGAATCTAGCTAAATGTGATGCTAATGGTGATATTAGCTTGTATTTGGTTGAAAGGCTGTCAAAAGAAAAGGAGATGTGTTTACTTACAAATCACTATCTTATCAGTTCTTAGTTCATTTTTTTTCATCAAAGACTTTATTAATTCGGTTTAAAGGGGTCTGACTCGTTATATTGTAATGGTGGTCATTTCCAGTATGGAACAAAATTCCCCCAGCAGATCTACAGTCAGTCTGGCAGTGAGAACGTGACTCCATTACACATCTTTAACGCATTTAGGAAATTTAGGAAGAAAAAACTGCAAAGGGAATAAGCTTGTGACTGGCAGCTGCATAAATAAAAGTTGTCGTATATTCATATAAAGACACGTAGTACAAGTATCGATCACTTCTGTCATATCATAAAAACGATGCATTGCCGTGGCAGGATTAAACTTGCAGTGTTAAGTGTGTGAATGCGTGTCTCTGTCAGCGTGTATTTCTGTGCCCTTGGGGTGTGTTTTTGGGGAGAGGGTTAGGTTTGCCAGCTGTTGTACATTCACGGTGAGAGGTTAGGTGGCGCTGTCCTGCCGGTGCATTCACAGGATCAGCTTCAGGGGTCATCTGTAGGGCATGTGTGTTGAAATTCAAGGGTCATTAAATGGTTAAATCTAAAGAAGGATGCATTTTCCTTTCTCCACCCAGGGGTTGTTCTTCATCAGCTCCGGGTTCAGGAAGGGATCCTCTGGGACACCATCCTCTATCCATTTTACCAAACTGTGTGGAGAGAAAAATAGAAAGAGCGGCATTTTTTAAATTCCTGTGGTATAGTCTTACCACAATCTGTCCTCTATCCGCTTTCCCATATAAGGCAAAAGGACAAGGATAAACTGAGCGACCATAAGTAACTAATTATATTCAATTTTGCAACTTTTGTTTGTGTACTTTAGTTCTAACGTACAACTCTGTTTCTTATTAAGAGCAGACGTTTATGATTTTGAATTTGAAGCCAGCAGAAAATAAAAAATAAAATAAAAAAAGCATTTTTTCTACTGCCTTGCATGACCTCTTCTTTAGTGTCTGCAGTAGTTTGAAACACAAAATGTTGTCCCATTCATGCTTAGCTGAACAGTTTGGACCATGCTTTTGAAATAAGTGCAGAGGGAGGTCTTGCATTGTCTTAGTGAAATAGGCCTGACACTGTGTGGATGGCAGCATGTGTTGCTCCTAAACTTTAAATCCCATAATGTCACAGATGTCGGCATCAAATTCAAAATGAACACGTTAAACAAAAGCAGGTTCTCAGTTTCATTCTCTTTTTGAATGTACATTTTATAACATATATATATAACTGTTTATTCTTTTGCATCCTGTGAACAACAACATTACGGCAATTACACACACAGAGCACTGAGAAAAAGTGACAGTAAATTCTAGCAGTGTGCATTCTGGGCTACAAGCGGTCTGATTGGTCAGATCTGTTGATCTGGATTTGAAAAATCATTTTTGATTTTACATGTCTGGTGTGAAAAGGCCCAGTGCTGATGAAATGCTTCCTTGGGTGTTTAATCTGATGGGACTGCAGAGAGAGGGCGAGACAGATAAACTTAACAGCGGCCGCTGCTTTGGTTCATTCTCAGATTAATGCTGTGACAACAAGCTTCAAGATACTGCTGATCAGCGAAGTCATATGACTACTTTATTATGGTGGTGAAATGACTAATATTGTATTTCCCAAATGTTCCTTGCATTTTGATGGCAGTTTTTATATTTCTACTTGTGTATCAAACAATCCTAGCTCTATATATGATACTCCAAAAATGAAGGAACGATCAACACAATATAATACAAAATCAGTTCAATTTAACCTTCTCTGGTACAACTGAAAACGACAACGGGTGCACTGGAGAGGCAACAACAACAAGATGACCCTCAAAAAGGGAATGATTTCGCAGGTCCTGACTGAATTTGCTCCAGTTTTCCTTTTTGCATTTTCCAGAGAAAACCAGAGCGTGCTCACACTTAACACGTAGAAGACGTAGAAGAGTCTGGAGACACCACCTGAGAACCACCTTGTGTAGTGGTGCTGCCAAACAGTACCAAAGCCGATCTAGAGCAGCTCACAGACTCCCTAAGACGCCATCATGCTCATCTGGAGCATGTTACTGACAGTGCATACAGGCATGCGGGGGAGCATACACAGTGCTGAGCCACATTATGGAAGCAAGTACATGGCTTGACTTCTGACTGAGCCCCATTTGCTGATGAGGGAACTTGAACTTGGTCTCAAAACTATACGCAAACTAGTACTAATTTAAAATAATGCACTGAATTAATGAGTAAGACGACACAACCAGAGATAGTAACAGCTAGTACGGCTCTATTTTCTCTCCCCAGCCTCTTCCTGTAAATGCAGTTACCAGTGTGTTCGGCATATTTAGCTAAAACAAATATCTTCCCTTTTCAATCTGAGAGGCTCAGAGCGATTTATCTTTTTTTGTGCACAGTTGATTTCAGGGTCGTGAACTCTGCGCAGCACAGCAGTGGAGTAACTACTCACTCAGTCACTGTTTTGGAGGACTTCTCTCTTTTGAAGGCCAGCTGGTACTTGAGGCTCTCCACCTCCTTCTTCATCTGGGGCAGGTCCATCTCATCCATGGCTGCAGCTTGTTGTAGGGCTTTTCTGCCTGTACAAAGTGGGAGGAGGCCACAGTTATATTTATATAGAGCGCTGTCAAATAGCAGGCAGACACGCTCAATACATCTGTGCCCTGCAGCAAGAACACCACAAAGTGCATCTGATTTATGACTGCTGCTTAGTGATTCCACCTACAGGAGGGAGAATAGAGGCTGGTATGTTCATAGAGTACAACCGAGCTGCCAAAAATTTGACAGACTCTCTTAACTCTACAGGATACATTCGTTTGATTTCTTTTGTGTTTTTTGTTTCCACTTCCATGGCTTTAATGAATACTTTGGTAATTTCATACTAAGGTCACAAAATTTTTTGCGTCTGTACTCAAAAGGAGGAAAAGGACAGCATGTATTTGTGCTCAATCTAATCTTTCTCCTGTGCTATTGTGTGTACATGTTCAGTGCTGTCCCAACACACCCACAGACACACCCACAGACACACCCACAGACACATGATATTGCACCATATTTACCACAATCAAATGTGTGAAATTGGGTTAGCAAGCGAGCAGAGTCTATACTACAAACAGCTAACATAACTATTTGAAATTGGGTAAGTTGTACAAGTTGTTAGCTCTAACATTTGAAGAAATGATGGAAAAGCTAACAATAATCTACAAATTGTACACAAAGTAACTTTAAAATGGTGGGTAAGCTGATAAAATAGTAACTAAATGTAATTGATATATAGCTTTAATAGGTAATACCAATGAATAAACATTTCTAGTTAAACCTAAAGAATAATTGGTTACATTTGAAAATCCAGAAACCTAAAAATGTTAAAGTTAGCTAAAAGTTAGCTAAAGGTTAGCTAAAAGTTAAAGCTAAAGTTAGTTCTGTGGTTTCAACGCAAATTTGAAACAGCAGCCTAAGAAATAACAGCTAAATTTTATATTACGGGTCCATATAAGCAAACATTTACAGAAAATGTTTCAGCAGTATTTATATAGGTGGTGTTGATGAACCACCAAACAAGGATGTTGAGGTAACATGCTTGGAAAACAATATTTCCTGTTTATTAATTGATTGATTTTTTCTCTGTTTTCCCCCAGCAGCCACCCCCAAGGATTTGGTGAGTATTGAAAGAAATCTGTAAGCACCTAATACCAAAGCTTATCATCCATATCCACAGCCATAGTCATGTATGAGACATCTAAAGTACTGAAAGGCATAACTGAATTTTACGGCTCCTGATAGCTGTTGTCATCATGTTTGGGAACTGTCCTGCTCTTTTCATCCGCACAGCTATCAGTCAGATCGATCTTCTTCCCAAAGATCTTGAAATAAGTTCCTAAAACTATATGCAATTAGAAAATCTGATCCATCCATCCGACATAATGGGATCAGCACTTCTTTTACACAACCTGTAGAGACTAATGCATCAGTAATATGCACTGCAGGTCATATCCATTTCATCCATGGAAGTAAGAAATGCAATTAGCTAAAGTCAGAATCACTCCTATGGAGACAAAAAACATCAGCGTATTTTATCGTGAGATAAGAGATAGCTGCAATTACAGGTCATGCCTTTTTGCCCCCTGCTGGCCATTGGAAAGAATGCAAATTTAAGCCACTTCTTGCTGGCTTTACTTTTCAATCTCGGAAGCTAATCTTTTATGTACAATACTCTTACAGATTACTTTTTCTGCAATAATCTTGTAATAGAATGAGTTATTTTTATTGGTAATGTTGCTCCTTTATTGTAGAGTCTTTACCTTATAATATAAAACACTTTGAGGTCATTGTTGTGATTTGTTCCTATATAAATAAAACTGAACTGAATTGAATCATTAATCCTGCTGATCTGTTCCCATTAAAGAGTATATTCAGGTCCTGACATAACCCACTGAGGCACTCCTTACAAACGATGTATACATATATCTGTACCTGTACAGATCATCTGATTTACAATTAATAAACAATGCGACATTAATGTCAGTTACAGGATCTCTCAGTGGCCAACTCTGCACAAAAGTGGAGTATTTTTTCTCTTCCGCAGCGTCTTTTTTGGTCCGTTCCTCCCTCCTGCTCTCTCTTGCTCCCCTCCCACGCTTTGTGTCCACTCCACTCTCTCAGTAATACGCAGCTCCTCTCGTACGTGTGCTTGTGCTTATGTACCCCCGTGTGTGCTTTTATGAGTCATGTGAGGATTCGGGTGAGATGAGTGCTTGTCTAGTCTGCACTCAGAATTGATCTTGTTGAGATCCTTCAGAATAGAAACAGCTATGGTATTTTTAAAGGGGCACTGAATAATGGTTGATACTACGCAGTTGTCCTTTATGACAGTTTAGTGAGTGAGGGCTTATATTCAGGCAGGAAACAGCGCCCCGAATCTGACAACTACTTCATGGTCTGGATCCAAAAGAAGCATCCAGTCAGTTGTCCAGCAAAGCCTGTCGTTTGCTATATGCTATATGCACAACTATCTTTTGAGAGACAGTTATGAACTTAAAATATAAAGACGTCATTGGTTTCTCCTCTTGTGCATAGCTTATTGCGCTCCTCTAGCAGAGGTCTGCTGCAGTCCATAGTTTGCAGGGAAGTTCCCAGCTTCCCTGCAAACTACTCACCAAACTGCAGCGAAACGTGAGGAAGACCAACAAGTCAGCATCTTTCATACTAACTACAGGGAACCACATCTCCTGGCGACCAACACAATCACAAGGAAGTTTTTGGTGCAGCACGATTTTGTGACCAATTTCACCTGGCAACAGCTGGCAGCCTCCAGCATCCACTCACCAGCTGGCCAGGGAATGTACATTTTCCCAGCAACCTTAAGTATCATCCCGTTCCATATGATCCTCTGACTTTGTATGAAAAGAACACAGCACTTGTATGTTTGCTTCATTTTTCACACCAGAGAGCTGCGTTCTTCTTTTATAGCACCGATGGCTGCTGCTAGGCTAGCTTGAAATGTATCGCTCTGACATGTATTTCCCTAAATGAAAAATTATCCCTAACAGTAGTTAAACCCTGGAGTGAGATATGCACCATCTTGACATTTTGGCGCATTACAGTAAATGTACTAGTACAAGAGGCGATTGATACTATCAGGACAGTAATATTGAGCAACACAAAGCCGTAACTGGTTTTTAATGATTTTTCCCCTCTGAAAACTGATATTTAGGACTCTGGAACAGAATGAATCAATCATCACTCCGAACATGTGAAAGCCTCAGGCGTCGATGTAAAACACCGGCTGACATGTTTATTTATTTTTATCTTTAGCACGTCATTGCTATTTGAGAGACGGGTAAAAAGGTTGTGGTTTTAAAAAAGAGGCAAGATTGAGAGAGACGAGGAGAGATGTGCAATCGGTGAGTCGGTGAGGTGCACACACGTGTGAGTATGAGGAAAACACCAGGTGCAATATTACACGAGAATGTGTGTGTGTGTCTTACCAATATTAGACACACAGGACTAGAGCGGTGGCTAGTTCCCGGCTGAGATCAGGTTTCAGCAGCATCCTCTAGAGACAACACTGGGATTGGATGCTTTCCTCCATCTAACTCTATCACTCACCATCTCCTTCATCCCTGTTTTCACTCTCTACCTGTTCTTCTTTTTCACATTTATTTGTCTGCTCCATCTTTCTCTCTCCACTCCTCTCAGCCTCCTTCTCTTATTTCTTCTCTGGCAGCATCTCTGTTTGACTCCTTTCTTTTTTATTTATTTGTTTTATTTTTGCACCGCTTATTGATCGCCTCCCTGGTTTTTTCTTTCACTTATTCTCTTCCCCGATCTATGTTACTCCCGTCCTGGGAAGGCAGGTGTAGATTCCCTTTACTGCACAAGTCTTAAAATGAAAATGGAATATTTGCCTTTGTTTGAACAAAATACCAGCGAGTGATGATGCCCGGTGGAAATGTTAACCCGTGATGTCGCTCATCACAAAGTGTTTGAGTCTTAGCTTGGAATTAAAGATAACATTTAGGTGGCTACAGTAGCAACGTCACTGTACAAGCTGTATCAAATATTTCACTGGAAACGTCAAACATCAACAAGCGGAACAATATTCCCGACACGAAGAGAGAGAGTGGAGTTTGGAAAGCGTGGAGAACACAGACATCTGTCACTACAAGTCATTTCCTCCATCCTCCCACCACCACCACCGCTGCTGCTGATGTGGATTTACTGCCTGCAGGTAATGCTGAGAAAGAAAGGGGGGGGGGGGGGCTGCTGTTTCAAACTGTTACGTTTACAAGAATCTGCCAAATTTCGAGATGCATGGCACAGTCAGTGTGCAGTTTCATAATGAGACAGATTTCAAGCCATTAAACGAGTCCAGCAATTTCATCAGGATACTGTAAAAGGCGCCTAAAGCACCAGAAGTTTAAAGGTCAAGTTCAGTGACTGCAGTTAGCAGAGGTGAGACCTCGCAGACAGCTACAGCTCCCTGTGTTGTCTGTCAAAGCAACCATGCCCTCAACTGTAAACGCCATAGCTGTCATGAAGGGAGAAACTATCCATAGATCCCAAAACACGTTTTTAAAGCTGTAAACGTGCTTTTTAGTGCTTTATTGTCACTTTTACATGGAGTCTGTGGGGACTGACTCGTCAACAGAGTCAGCCTCAAGTGGCCGTTAGAGGAACTGCAGCGTTTGGCACTTCCACGTTGGCTTGATCTTTCAGCTCTGCAGTCTGCTAGAGACGACTCAGTCATAATTATTTATGTTTATGTTTTATCCGCTACTTTTGTTGCTGTAATTATATTACTGAAGCTGATCGCAAAGGAAAGCAATGGAAAAGCTCATCAGTGAATATTTTAATGTTACATTTGGTATTGTCATTTTGCAGTTTAAAAAAAAAGCGTATGATTTTTAAAAAACGTTTATTTTCTTCAGAGTATTTTGGTTGCTACAAATAAGTAGATTAAAAATGCGATTGTGTATAAGGGCTAATTTGGATGCTAATTCCCAGCTTATGCTCGGAAAGTCATGCACTGATCCCCCTCCCAACTACAGCCTTTTTTTCTGGGAACAACAAGAATGCCAAAAACTGAATTATACAATTATACTACCAGAAGTAATCAGAAAAATTCGTCTATCACAAACAGTCATTGAATGAACCCAAGAATTAAATGTCATCTTCATGCCAGCTATTCCTTTCTATCATACACCTTTGTCTCTCTCCATCTCCAATTACTTTGAATGGGACTGGATGAATAGCCAACTGTGTAAATATGTCTGTGTTTATCTGGTAAAGCTCTGCTTTAGACAGCCTTTAAACGCCACACAGAGTAAATAATGGAAAGACTCCACCATTATACTGCCATGTGGTTTACTGATATCTTACTCTGTGGGCTTTGAATCAGAAAAGATCAAGAACTCTGCTGCGTTCTCGCTCCCGTCCTTTCGCTGCTCTCTGATATCTGTTTCTGACTGTCTCAGGCAGTTAATCTGTCGCTTCTCACAGCAGTCGTCTCCTTTTTTTTGTTCTCCGGCCAATTATGGCAGTTGTGGAAAAAAACTATCAATTATATCCCATTTACTCTAAACCAGCAGTCACGTGTAATGGTGCTTGTGATGTATATTAAAACATCAATAAATCAGAGTCAAATTTATTGCGATCCTTTGCTAATGTTACTCTAAACTAATCTCATAAGCCCTGCATTGTTTACTATCACAGGGAAGACCCCGGCTTCCTCGTAGCTTCTATCACCACACTGATGAGCATGTCGGAAGTCTTTCCCCCTCCATCACAGCACCATCGACTAGCTTCACATTCACACAGGATATCGTAAGGGTGTGTACTGGATGCACAGCGCTCTTTTTGTCACAGAACCAAACAGGCACTCCACAGCCAAAGCTCACAGCACTGTTGATATTGTCAGTTAGTTGACAAAGTCTGATGTGTGTGTTTTTGTTTTTTTTAGCTCATCCTGTAGTTCTGTCGGGTTCATCGAGCCGTGACAGCCTGCATGAACCGGGCAACATGCAGTAAAGCATGAAGCGGTCAGGATGAGAGTCGGAACAGTTCACCTTCACGTTTGGAGCAAGTTACTGTACCAACCAAGGGCAGTAGAGTGTCATGGGGACACTCACAGTTTTCTCAGATATTACAAGCTACCTGAAAATGATGGAAACGACCTTGTTGTAATCAAGCAAAGTGGGAATGTGAGAAAATTCCCTCTGGAGTCGAGCATGTTAAAATACTTGCTCAGCACTTAACTTGGCTATACATCTTAGCATTGTTAGAGTCGAGAGAGCGTGCTGCTTTTTATGAATGTGGAATGATCCTGAGTGTAGGTGGATCATTTGCACAAGCATCGTGTAAGAAAGCTGCACACTTCCCAGGAGGGGAATGTAGGCAATGTAGTTGTTGGAAACACAGCTTTGTTACCTCGTAATGAAGTCAGATAAGTAAAATAAACTACCAGGACCATGAGGCGCATTAAGCGAATCAAAGAAGTCAGATAAATCAAACTTTATTCAACTCATTCTTCTTGCTTCCTCCACTTCTGTACCATTGATTCATTAAGGTTGAATTCTCTGCAGCTGCTCTATGTTGTTGCAGTATATTAATGACTAACCTCGTATTGTGGATGGATTATCTCAGTTGTTCTCCTGACTGCAGTTTGGTCCGTTTACAGCATCCTGCCATGCAATTGCATTTGTCCCTAACCATCAGGAACCCTCACGTTAACTTTTATCAAGTAGAAAAAAAGTTAGCGTTCATCCTCCAGCTTCACTGTGTTTATGTTATGCTAACATAGCTGTGTCGCTAGCGATCACGTAGCATATCGTTATATAGCAGCTAGCCCAACTTCCGTAACCCTACAAACATCACTGGTGTTTAGTTTTCTGTCTTCATTCATGTTGGAAGTGATAGCAGAGCTGTACGTTTGAATTTTTCAGAAATCTCTCAGTCAGAACATGCTATATCATGTTTAGGTAACTAGTGAAGCTAGCGAGCTAACTCCCTGCTAACCTCTAACTCTGTTAAATTTAATAAATCCTGTTTTCATGGATGCCTGGATGTTAAACTTAATTGTTACACCTGGTAGAGCAGCAACGCTGATCATTTTATTACAGATGAAAGAATTTGGACAGTTTTTAACTCTCAGTGTGCTGCAGTTTTGGACCCAGATTACTCCACGAGGCTCCTGACTACGGTAGCTGTAATGCTCAGACAATCCATCAAGCGGTGCGGCTTCGTAGCTTACCAAACTAAAATATTTTTGACAGATTTTTGAGCCAGTAAGCACAACCAGAATTCATACATAAGGCGCACCAGATTATAAGGCGCACTGTCAATTTTTCAGAAAATCAAAGGATTCCAAGTGCGCCTTATAGTGCGGAAAATACGGTAGTTGGATGCGGTGGTCATTTTGTAGCTCAGGCGGTGTAAACTTTCTTTGTCGGTTTTAATAGATTTTGTTCATTTTACATCTCTTTAAAAGAATTCTGCCTCTTGGTGCTCGAAACATGAAAAATACTTTTCCAAAACATGGCGTTCACATTCACTGTTACCCTCAAAAACATGTTTGACCTGGATGCAGCTCTGAAATATGACTTAGAAAAGAGAAACTAGGGTTACCCCTAACAGGTTTCCCAGGGGGGAAAGAGTTGACCGGCTTTTAGAGATGATGGCTTTGCTCTTACCACACAGGTAGTTCAGAGCAGTAATATATGGTGTTTGGTCAAGGTGTGGCTGTCTTTGCAGAGCTCACTGCAGTGTATACAGAGCTGTAAGTTTAAACTGGGACACTTTGCCGTGAATGGAGGTCATCTTTTTCTTAAGAGTCTGCTCAAGTTTTATAAAAGATGAAGAACAAGTTAATTACATGTTCTTTATGAAAAAAAATCAACTATTTTTATGAACTGAATCTGTTTTCAGTGTTTTGATAACTCACAGTGCCTCAAAAATGTAACATTTAGTCAGACTCTGGGTCTGCATCAAAAAGGCTGTCACATATCTGTGTATGCCTGAAGCTTTTAAAAAGATATATTTGGGTTTGTGTGTGTGAAGGTTAAAGTGGGGTGGTTGTTTTAAGAGAGGGTATATAGGTCACGTAGCGATTTGGGTCAAAAGCATCCAGAGATTAACCTTTACCCCCCGTCTCCTCTGCTATCTCGCCCCTCACATATACTATAGATATGTGTGTGTGTGTGATGGAGAGAGTGGAGCAGGTCTATTGTGAGGTACTGCTGTTGAATGCTTAACTCGTGGTCCTTCTGACTGCTATGATTATAGCTCAAGGTTAAATTAGAAAGCCAAGGATAAAAGTGTGAAAGTGTAAGAGTTGGTGGAAGGTAAGGCCAAAGCAAAAATAAATAAATTGTGACAGATAAGGATAAGTAAGAGGCAGAGAGGCTGATGATGGAAACAGAATGAGAGCCTCCTCTTGCCTCTATAGCTACTGCATTGTAAATAGAAGCTAAAAATAGAAAGGAACAGGCAGAGCTCTTCTGACCAGCTGAGAGTGGCGAGTAAGAAAGAAAGAAGAGGCTCCTTGTAGTTAAACTGAGGATGAGATGCTGCTGAGGATAATAAATGCCAGCTTCTGACAGATGATGTTTGAGCTTTTACAACCAGCTAATCTCTTCAGCAGCACTTCAGTGAGCTCTGAAGTGGCTGGGATCAGTCCAGATGTTATCACACTAGTGGGGCCCTGTCTGCATGAGGGAAACATCCAATCAATGGAACCTGATCAATGCAGGCATGAACTAGATTGGATGGAATTAATGTTTGCGTGCATGTTTTTGTTTGGGTGTATGCGTGTTCCCCACAGGGCCACGCATACACTAGGGGTGGCGGTGCCTGCCCCAGAACACAAGACAACGGCAAAGAGATGCAAAGCTTACACCTATACACCAAAGACGACAGGAGTGAGAGCACCAACAGCTATAAGTAGAGATAAAACGTGTAGAAAGAGATAGAACGCAATCGCAAAGAGATCGAAAACAACACACATGTAAAATCTATAGTAAATTTGTTTTAAGACGATCTCTTTGTGACGGAAATTGAAAACTGCAAAAATCCGCTGCAAAGAAATGAACCACAGAGAGACACAAACAGCTGTGAGTAGAGAAAACCATGGCAAAGAGAGGTGAATGAGACGCAAACGTACCACAGAGACACACATTACATACCACAATGAAGAGGCTTGGTATTAATGAACTACAAAGCACTCAGCCATAAAACGGAAAATAAAAATAAAAAATAAAAAAGAGAGACGATCTTCTCAGTCTGGGGGTTGTGCAGCTTTTATATCTTGATCCAGGGGTCCACGTTCTCATAACCAGACGGTTTTAGGTCATTTTAAGTTTACTATCCTTTTATTACCAAAGAAAAAGTGTAAAAATTAAAATCTTCACAACTCTTCACTCCCTCCCTAAAAACGTCGTCCGGAGCACCATCTATCCCCAGAACAGGGTCAAAAGAGGCCAGGGAGAGAAAAGGGAGGAGGAGGAGGAAGAGAAAGTGCAGAGGACAAATATAAGTTTTATGTAACATTCGTGGGTTCTGTATAGCCTGCGTGGTTGCAGTTTGTGAAGTACGCACGGAAAAAACCCAGCCTATGACACAGATGCATAAGGAGTGTACTTATCGTCTTGCCCAGATTAAAATAAAATCCACAGTTTCATTTAGGGGTCAGTTTGACCTCCGTGCTTTATGCGAATAGGCGAGCCTGTAATATTAATAAAGGCCCCGCTATGTTGGCAGAGCAGCCACAGAAGATAGTGTACGGTGGCATAATGTGGCTCTCCTACCTCACTGATGCGCTGGCGGAGGCTGTTGCTCTTTCCAAGTCTGACCGGTGCAGTTAAACTGGAGGAGAGGGCGAGAAGACAGCTGGCCTGACTCACGGAGACTGATTTCCCCCCTCTGCTAGAAAACAAATAGCGCACTTAATGTCCGTAGACTTAGTTTATCTCGGAGAGGCGGTGTGCACTCTCGGTATCCGCTGGAAAAGATCAGGGATAAAATCCGCAGTCTCCAGAGTAAAAGACGCGATGACGACCAGTCTGAAGCTGTCTGGAGCGCTGGAGGAGTCTCGCTGTTCGCCGGTAGTCCGGTTTGTTGCTGCAGCTGCTGAACCTGCACGAGAATGAGGCGGGGAAACGACAAGTTAACGATCTGGTCCCGTGCGCGCTCCGTCGTTCGCTGCCCGCTTCTCTGCTGGGATCCTCCTATATGAGCGCCAGTGCGCGCGCGCGTGAGTGTAGGAGCGAGAGGAAGAGTGTGTTCCCCCAGGATGCGTACGGAGAGTTGATAAGGCGAGGAAGGGGTGGGGGTATAAGCGCAGGTACGGCACAAGGGAAGACTTCTGTGTGCGTGCGTGCGTGCGTGTCCGTGCGCGCGGGCGCGGACTCTTTTTGCCCCTATTGCCAGATCCTGGATTTCTGCCCTAATATGGCCACTTATAGCTTCAGAGCAGGAGAAAGATTTAGGTTTCCAGTCAAGAAAAAAGAAACACGTTTGCTTTATGTCACTTTTAAACCCTCTAAGACAACAGAAGAATCTGTTTGATCACACGGTTTGTATCAGCAACTAAAGGAGAGATTCGTTATTTTACTGCCAACCAGTCTGTATAACTCTTGAGTTACACCTTTGATTTAACCTTTAATGGCTCTCATCAGCACGTGACAGAAGACACACTGAGTTTAGATTTATTGCTAAAGATGGATGTGGCTTACTG